GCGAAAATGTTCTGGAAGCTGTTATGTGAGTAAATGGGGGTTATTTCGGGAAGATGAAGATGTGTGGGAACAGAGGACCGACGTTTGGGGAAAGGTAGCGAGACGAGGGAGAACATAAGGCCTGTCATGAGGGAGAAGCTGCCAGGCTTTACATTAGAAAGCACTCAGTCTCTTATTCGCTATCTTGGTTGGGTTCGTCACGCTGTATCTCCAGTAGGGGGCTTGTTTTTTCTGAGAGCAGTGGCGAACCAAGGTTATTGTTTTGCATTATTATTATTTATATTTTTCATTATTATGTTTAGCTTTGTGATCAAAGTAGTTATTATTTTTTTAATTTTTTTTTTTTTTTTTTTTTTTTTTTACTTTTCATTTTAGTACATGCATCTCGAACTTTTGCAGAAGTCACACTGTTTTCCTTATGTTGCTTATTACTAGTGTTGGTTCGAGCTATTCAAGATCGTATCATACAATTAACTAGAAAACTGTAAAGTTCGGCATTGGTGCATGTAAAGTTGATACGTTTGTTCGAAAAGGAAAATAAACTCTTAAGTGTGCGTGACGGTCACACAATTTGTTCTTGCAAATTGTTTCATGTGTTGTAAGACTCAGAGAATTGTCCTCTTTTTCCCTCTTTTTTTTCTATGTAGTCGAAATGGCGTTAGTGGTGGACCAATGAGTCACAATTAGACTGCATTGGGTTAAGCGTCGTATTTTTTATGTAGGCTGCGTGAAATAAATAAAAGAAGAATGTGAATAATTGGAAAATACGGAATTATTTTGGTACAATGCAGAGGCATTTTGACACCTTTCAGCACCACTTTTGTTGAACAGCGCCTCGTGTGAAGTTGTCTGCTACTATTAAACAGAGGACTGTGATCTTCATTATGTTCTTCCGATTAAGGAAGTATTATACTTTTGCTAAAATACCTTCAGGTTTATTCTTCACTTTTGCCTTTCTGGTTCAAGTAATTTATTTAATCATCGGATAATTCAGATGACTGGTTTTAAATGAGAGATAAATAGACCTAGAAAACAGTGCATGCCTTTGCTAAAATTCTCTTTAGGCATAAATATATAAACCTGCTTTGCAATTCCTAATTTACACTCAGAGGGCCGCTGTTCGTCGACAAATGGAGGAGAAACTGTGTATTTTGCAGAACCACCCCCAGCATCACATAATATAAGAGAGAAAGAAAGAAAAGCTACCGTCTCACTCAGATATTATTTTCTTGCACGGATTTTCTGTAGATAACTCGTCGAGTACATCCATAATTCAAGTCAATACAATTTAATTTCATTTTATAGGCTTAAAGGATACACTGATAAGTTGTTTCTTATTCGATCATCGGTGCGTTTGAGACAATGCCTGATGCAATTGTAAGACGCTCGGTGCTGTTTTTGACTCTTCTGGTTCACATAGCGCGAG